GTATTTTTTAACTTTCCATTTCTACTGTTTTTTCTGACCTGCACTAACCAAAAAAAAAAAAAAATTCCATACTGAAAGAAGATATACCTAGTTTAATTGATTAAATTATAAATTATGCATTATGCAGTTCCTAAATTTTAGAAGTATTTATTAGATTCCTAAAATTTCAATTATAATTTTAATAGTCCTTATAGTTCTTAATATTACTTAAATTTTGACATGACATGGTAATTAGATTAAATGTCCGTGATCATTGATATGACATGATATGACACTAATTCGAGCATAATTTAGTGGCTAAGCTTATACTTGTTACTATTTTAAAATTTGATGGTTTTTCAATTATGTTATCGTTAATATAATAAAAAAAAACAGTTGATGTCATTGTTGAAGGAAAAAAAATTATGATATGACATGAGAAGTAAGCTAATAGGATAAAATAAGGTCTTGATGACTGAAAATTTTGATGGGTAGGTAGCAAAATGAGATTTCAAATCAACTTTTTTTTAGATTGGTTCCACTTATGTTATTTGGCAAGAGTACTCCCTTCTGCGTAGGTTATTTCTAATAATTATTATTAGTTAATCAATCTGCTACACCACTATAATTATCGTTCAATTATACTCGTTTTGACATGTATATATTATATGTAATTTGCATAATTTAAAAGTTACTTTTCATAAAAAAAACTGTTAAAATATATTTCAAGCTTAATTAAGGTGTTTTGTTCCTTCTTTAAAAGTTAGAAGTTCAATCTTCCTCCCATATTTGTGACTAAAAAAGGTGTTAAAAATATAAAATTTATAAGGCTGACAATTCCGTTCTAGCCTATATTAATAGGAGAGCAAACGTCTTAATTAAATGAAGAGTTATTTCTTTAAAAAATTATATATATGCATAAATTAATTAACTTAGTTTTATTTTTTTAAGATTGTGCCTTGGAAGCCAAGATTATACATGGACATTATACTAGTAAAGTAAAATATAGGGTATAAGAGATTGTAGGTCAATTTTAATTCATATATAAACACGAAAGTCGCAAACATGAATTAAATAATGAAAACTTTTTACCAGTGATAGCTATTAAATATTTGATTATTTTATCCCTCTTAACCTATGGTTTCATCTTTATAATATGACATTTGGCTTTCTCCACACCATACATTAATTTGGTTACTCAATCATGTTTGTAAAGTGTCTATTATATGGAAATAATGACGATATATTGGGTTGAATGTTTTTTAAAGTTATTTTTATTAAATTTTTAAATTTATTTTGTCTTTAATTTTTTATTTCTAAAATATTAAAAAAAACAAAAGATGGATAAAAAAACCAAAGGAAGCTGTTGGGAATATGAAGCCAAAACAATGCTGCAAGACCAAAATACAGAAGAGGACAGCATGGAGGCATTAGCACAAAAATAGAATAGAGGCACAGTGAAGCTTATAGCACCGAGACGCTACTTCTAGTATCTCAATGCAATTGTCAAATTAAATATAGTTTAGGGGATTAAATCACCTATCTCTGACCAAGAGATTATGAATTCGAACCCCACCCCAACATATTGTAAAAAAAAAAAAAAAAAACTCTACAACTAATTTCATTCCCACATAATTAAACAAAAATAGCTAAACATATAATCACTATATTTCAACCATAATATTTGAATATTTTCATAAAGAGATAATTTTTTCTTCTTTTTTTTTTAAAGAAACTGAGGACTGAGGAAAAGTTCCAATACTAAGAGAGTACCGTACTATCTTTATGCAAACGATAAATAGAAGAAGTATTCTACAGTCGTCCGAAAATGAAGCCAGGTGCTGATGAATGCAATTGTTATTCTACAAATTTCCATCATTTCTAATTTGGATTTTAGTATCTCTCTTTGCAAATAATTCATTCGAAAAGAAAAAGAAAAAAAAAGGAAAAAGGAAAAAAAAAATTGTATCTTTCTTCTCCACTGGCGGTGCCATGGATATCTGGATGGCGATGCTTCTCATCATCACTCTCCTCTTCCCTCTTCTTTTCCTTCGTTTCTTCGGTTCACGAAATAAGGAAGGTTTCAGAAACTTCCCGATATTCGGGACGTTGCCGGACTTCTTGGCGAACCGGCACCGTTTTCTGGACTGGTCGACGGAGGTGCTTCGGAAGTGCCGCGGAAACACAGCGGTGTTCCGGCGGCCGGGGAAGGTTCAGGGTGTGATAACGGCGAACCCAGAAGTGGTGGAGCATATTCTGAAGACCCAGTTCGAGAACTACCCGAAAGGGGATCGCTTCATTTCGCTGCTGGAGGATTTTCTGGGCCGCGGAATCTTCAACTGCGACGGCCCAAACTGGCGAGCCCAGAGGAAGACGGCCAGCTACGAGTTCAACACCAAATCGCTGAGGAATTTTGTGATGGAAAACGTTGCGGTGGAGATTGGGACCAGGCTGGTTCCTGTTCTCGAAAGGGCTTCTGAAACAGGGCGGGGTTTGGATTTGCAGGACGTTTTGGAGCGATTCACGTTCGATAATGTCTGCAAATTGGCTTTCGATTTCGATCCCGGCTGTCTCAGCGGCGACGCCACCGCCGGCGCCGACTTCATGCGCGCTTTCGAGGACGCCGCCACGCACAGCTCCGGCAGGTGCGCTCCCTTTAACTAATCCTCAAAAAATTCTGATTTCGATTTACTTAAATTAGGAGTTGGTTGCTAAACTTTTGTCTAACTAACTTATTTTTAACCCTAAAAGTTAGGTGTATTTACATTTGGTCAAGGTTAAAATTTCACCCGCTACCATTAATTATATATATATATATGATATGTAGTGAAAAATTGATTTGTTTAGGGGAGTTTTATGACGAGTAAAACACTGATTTGAACACTTTAGTCAATTACAAACACTGATTTGACACAAATTTTTACTACATATTAATATAATATTAATATAAATTATAGTGGATGATAATCCATGTAAATTTAGAAAGAAATGTATAAATTTTTAAAGTTTTAAAGACCTCTCACACTAGTACGAGGACCTATTTTGACAATTAAGAAAAAGAAATGCGTAAATGAATTTTTTCTTTTCTTAAAAAGAAAAATAATCTATCAAACATTCATTAGTGGTCAGAGGATAACATTCAATGATGTGACCTGATAGATATTGTCTAATTCATAATTCATATTTTAATGTAAGTTTGTAATTGACTAGTTTTAACATTTATCTATAAAAATGAATATAATTGAAAATTTAATAGATAAATACTTGCCTAGGCCATAAACTATCACCATTCTAAATAAAAAAAATTGGCAATTCATTATTGTTTTAAAAAAATCTATCTCTTAATTGTCAATCATTTAATGGTTGTGTAGAGAAGATGAAGCTAAGTAAGAATTTTTGATTTAAATATATCATACAATTTTTAACAATCATGAAAATTGTCTCTATTTATCTTAATTGTGTAAGTTTAATCTCATCAAATATAATATATATATATATATATATATATATATATATATATATATATATTTATTAAGATTCTCACATCAAATAATTTGAACCTACCTAAAAATAGTTCACAAACCATCTTTAAATGATGAACAACACTATTAACAAAAATTTTGCTCGCCAATCAACTCCTAACTATTTCTTGAAATAATCTCGTGTGAAAATCAGAACATCTGGAAAATTTTTCTAATTTTTTTTTCTTTGAGGTATGAAATCTGTTGATTCACGAACTTGAGCTATTTTGCAAGACCAGATTCTTGTATGCTATCCCAAATTCGTACAAAATGAAGAGATTTTTCAACGTGGGATCAGAGAAAACTCTAAGACAATCCATAGCCACAGTCCACAAATTTGCAGACAACATCATACACTCAAGAATAGAAGAGACCAAGAAGACGACGAGCCATAAGAAGGATCAAGATTTGTTATCCCGTTTCATGGGAGACGAAAACAATTACTCCCCAGAATTACTCCGAGACATTGTCATAAGCTTCATCCTCGCCGGCCGCGACACCACATCCTCAGCTCTAACATGGTTCTTCTGGATC